CAAATGTGAGCTCTCAATTGTGACTTTTTCTTCAGACTTATGGGCTCTAAAATTGCTGTGCACCTTATAAACTTGCGTTTGTGAGAAGCTCAAAATTTACTTGTTTTAAATGCAACTAAAGTTGTTCATTGATGGATTCTGACTTTATATCCTTGCAAGGGAATTCTTGGCTTATGAAGTCAGATGTTATGTTAAAATTGAGAAATCTTGAATTTGAGCATATGGCTCTCTTTTCGGACTTTTGTCTGAATTGTGAAGTAAAACTCAATTACAAGTAATTACATTCTTCTATCCTTTGGCTAATTGGCTTTTACACGCCTTTTCTCAAACATTTCTCCATGTATTGACCAGCTTTTCTCACAAAAAAGTGTTGCATGCTGAACTGTTACAAACAATTTGTGTTGAATTTAAACAAACAAATTAAATTTAATAATGTTCAACTTAATTTGTTTAAATTCAGCCCAAATAAAATTTTTACAACCACCTACCGTAAAAAATTGAGTGAATCCAAGGAATCGTGAATAATTTTTAATTTTAGGTCTATTACTTAAGATTTTCTCAAAACATTTTATGTGTTTTATTTATATTACGTGAGGATGGAATTCGGAAATGTTTCTTTTTCAATGTTGAATTGAGTGTATAGCTCTCGTTTCTTTTCTTTTTTTTATCTGAATTGTGAGATGAAACATTAACTACATAAACTACATTTCTCTATCTTTGGGCAAACTGGCATCCTTTCTCAACAACTGAAATGGTTCTCTGTAGATTTACCAGTTTTTTTCATGGCTAGTGATCTAGGTTTTCCGTGAAAATGTTTGATTTATTTAATTTATCATAAAACAAGTTTTATGTGTTATTTTTTTATAACATGAAGAATGTGATTTCATCAATCTTGCTTTTTCTGTTTACTTAGTGAAGTACATTCTTTACTCGCCTCTCTGTGGCGCCGTTTCCACCTCTAACCTGAATGTTGATACACGTTTATACCTTGAGCGTTTACAACGCTTGCATGTTAAAGAGCCTCGCTGTTTTCGCCGTTATCTGTAAATGGGTTAATTATAGGCTATTTACGTAAGTAATATGTTAATATCTTAAAATAGTGAGTCTGCTGCTTTATACTGTTAACCGGGCGGGCTAGTTTAATCCTAAAATGGCGGCACGATGTGGAACTGGTTATGTTTGTCCAACAGGGGGAGTTATAACTTTATTTTTTTATTCGCCTTTCTAAACTCGTCTGAACAAAATTAAATACACTGAGATTGGGTTTTGTGACGTTCAAAATAATGTATATAGGGCCTATTGGATTCCCTTGTTCTGTGACTTAAAGCTACAAAAAAGATTAACAAAATAGCTTAAATTACCCAAACTTTCCAATAAATGAAGCATTGTATTTTTTTGCTGTCATCAACCTTTACTGTATCAAGATGTGTGTGTGCAATGTCATAAACCGATTCACGATAAATATTAGTTTACCAGAATCAGTTAATTTGTCACCAATATTTTGTTACCAAAAGTATTAAAACATTTTTGTGTATTCCACAGAAGAAAGAAAACAGGAACCACACGAGGGTGAGTAAGTAATGATAGAATTTACCTTTATTTTTGGATTGGACAAATTCCCCCCAAATTGTGTAGAGTGGCTGAATGTATTCACATGTTTGACAATGCATTTGTGTAAGATGGTTACGAGAAACAATGTCTGTTACTGTATACTGTTTAATAAGTTAACCTTATTTGTGTTAGGACAACATAAATGTATGGAACACTACTTTTTTTACAGTGCACACATGGAAAATATTTGGGTTCCCTTGTAGCTATTTCGGTAGCACAACACAACCAAATCCTTTGCTTTGTTTTAATGAAAAAAATTAACAAACATTTTACAGCATTTAGCAAATTTTAAAAATACAATAAAATTACAATCCCAACTGTTTCGAGCTTGGGTGATTTGTCAATCCCCTGCTGTGCCAGTGAGGTCACAGCAATCAATCACTGTAATATTTTAATTGATGACAGCGCAGAAGAGTTACCTCCTTAAGTGAGAAGACCAAGTGTTTACAAGAAGCCTGTGTGTTTGAATCAGTTCTGATGCATGCATGCATTTTAGGCTTTGTATATTTGTGTCTTTAGTGCATATCATATTTCTTCTCTATTTGAGTACTGTATGTGTAAGAGAGAGAGCGCCTACTGAGCTTGATTTAGGTATGAAGGGGGAATAAGACGCAGCACATGGCTCAACCTTCCGTCTGTCTATATGATGCTGCCTGAGGGGCCCTTTTCTGACCCCGGCCTCTCTCTTTCTCCCCAGGGACCCCAAAACCTCTTGGGATCCTCAGGCAACATGAAGGTGGGGAGGGGGCGGCACGTGTCTAAGACCGTTGATGCGGTGTGTGTTTAAGACAGATGCAGTCTGGTCTGTCCTTGTGTCTGCTGCCATCCCTCTCTGAAAAAAAAATCTGCTCATCTTCAGCAAAACAACTGGTCTACATGCCTGCTAATGTTTATATTTTGTCAACACAAGCTTATACTGATATTTTGACTAATATGGGGTGCTGTCAGGAGTTTTGGAGAAAATCATAACCTCATAATGGATAGCCTATTTCTCGTGCAAACTATTTTACTATTGAATAAAAATAGGCTTAGTAGCCTAATGTCTAGGTATATCTTGCACATTTGAGCATCAATCACTATCACAGAGCAGGCCTCAGGAAAGTCTGCTGCGATTTTCAGGCTTTTCAGATCATATCTGTGTGGCCACTGATAACAGGCCGCACCTGAATAACAAAGAGATGCAGGCCTGAACTCAATCAGTCTCGGGTTTAAAAGCAATAGATGTTGTGAATTTCCGATTTAGGTTGTTCTTGTACCCCAGACAGTATTATCGCTTTTTTATCCTGCTGCCGTAGCCGTCCGGATTGTGCGCGGGGTGCGGGGCGAGGAGCGCGCGCTGCGTTTATCAGCGTGTTGACAGTCGAGCAGCCGCGTGCGTTCAGCGCATTATCAAGAGCGCGCGCGTGTATTTTTGCCATTAGTAACGCCTGGCCATGTCTGCAAAAGATGCAATTTACATAATAAAATCATTTCTGTACTACACCCAGGCACCGATTTATTTCAAACGAATGTGTATATGGGGAGGTAGAACGAAAATATCAAAGGGGGGCATTTAAATGCCCCTTTAATTGTGTGGTGCGTATTTAACACAATTTAAAAGTAGATGAAATAACACGTTTTTAGTTAAAATTGTAAAAATAATAATTTAGGGTAATTTGTTGTATACATATGCAACGCCTTGCATGTTTAATAACTGTCTTCTTACATTTAAATAGTCCATTAGTTTATAAGCATCTGTTGTATTTATATCACATTTAGTTATACGACAACGAAATTATTCAAATTAATTAAAAAAAATATTTATTAATTGTAATTTGCTTTTCGTTTTTCTGGGTTGCTTTTTAATGTTGTCTATTTGCTAAGGATAACTTTTTTTCTCGTCTAGAGAATTTTAATAGACTAGGCAATAATAATAATAATAATAATTTTTATTATAATAATAATAATAATAATTGTTAATATTAATAATATAATAGCCTAATAAATGTAATAATAATCTAAAACTACATATTTAATTTGAGACTCGTGTAAGGCTTCTCGACTTTATTATCTAAACTTTGCTTCTTATTTTATAATTAGGCTGGTTTATTCTTTAATAGAAAAATATTTTTTAGGTTAAATGTGTTTCCGTTGTGGTCTTAATAGGCTTAGGGGTGTTAGGTGAAAGCCTGTACTGTGACGTAGGCTATATGGCCTCAAGTTGATTTAAGAGCAAGGCGTCGTTTCTCTACGTCTTGGTGCATAACGGCAATTTCTAAATATTTATATTGAATTTAAACGAAAATTCGCAATGCTGTTTTACAAAGCTGAATATTTGCTTCCTTTTTAAGCATATCTGAAATCGTCAAGAAGACAAATGTGAAGTGTGGACAAAATAAATACGTCCTAAAGGTTTGTACTTTATATGCGAACAACAAAAATTAACCGTAACTGTGTGCAGATGTATTAAAGCGTAAAATGCAACACCAGCAATGTCGTCGCGTGGTGTCTGAATGACTGTCAAAGTGATTAATATTTGCTTTTATTGTCTTCACAGTTGTGTGTTCCGTCGACAGAAATCTAGCCTGAGGGGCAGAGCCTCATCCCAGACCGTGTTTGCCTTTCTTTTGTGAGTAAAATTCATCATTAGTCATAAATAATAGGTAAACTTTGACCCCTCTAAACATCTGCGCCACGTGCCCAGAGCAGATAGCTGATTTATTACTGCTAGTGTGAAGGGGACATGATTTGAATGTCAGGAGCATGACGGTGGGCCTTATGCTCTTATGCTGTGGTGTTTGTGCTGTTTAAAATGTCAATTAAAAGGTTGCTACAAACCCTATTGATACCTAGCTAAATTAAAAGGGTTTGTTCCAAAAGACTCCTGAGCTTTACTCTAAAATTACTGCATCACAATGCTGTCAGAAATTGTAAAATGATGAAATATTTTGGTATTAGTGTGTTATATTCAAATCTTTTAATCCCATACTTACTACATAGCATTTGCATATCAAACTTCAGCGCATGTATTGATGGTTTGTGTTGTGAAATGTAGGTCATAACGCAACCTTTGCAGTTTTTGCCTCCGAGCATTTTTGCCGAGCATTGTCACCAAATATAATCTCCTGGTTTGGGAGAGATACTGCCGTGCCTTTTGTAAATGGTTAGAGTATGCGTATTAGGCCCTGTGTTTATTTCAGTGTAATGAATATTCGATGGTCTGCTTAAGTGTTCGCCATGCATAAGGGGATTATCTGCTTCCATGACATTGCTGGGTATCAGATAGGGAATGGCAGTGGGATGGTGCAGGGTGTTATTTTATTGTGCACTAATATGAAAGCACAGTTGCAGTGACTGTACTATAGATGACTTTGTCCTGTCGACCGGGCGCTCAGGTGAGTGCTGCTGTTGGCTTCTCTCTTGGCATTCACCGCGTGCCTTAATTGTATTGAAATTAAATCAAGGTCCACTGTGAACACAAAGAGCAAAAACCCAAGTTTCCGAATGTCATCCGACTTGTCTTTTCCTAAAGAACTCTCTTCGTTCCTCTTCATCACGGCTAACGGTTCGGTCGTCCAGCTTGTCTGTATTTGGTCCCTATGCAGTCTGCACATCCTGTTCTTGTCCTTCAGTACAATACCACGTTTCTGTACTCATCTAAAATCCCTTTCTTCTCACCTGTCCTCCTCCTCCTGCATCTGATGTGGGCTTTGCTGGTGTTAGTGCAGTCCAAACCAGAAGTCCTAATCGCACACACACACACACACACGCACGCACAATTACACATCCTTCTGAGGATTCTCCCTGCTTGTGCGGTTTTAAATCCTCCTTTCCGTCGGCCTAGATGTGTGGTGAGAACAAAACATACATGACAACGCAACACAGTGTTTCTTATGATCATATTTTACACACAAAAACATCCAGAAGGACCTTTCTATTTATATCACAAATGCATAACCTGACAGAGAGAGAGAGAGAGAGAAGACAGCGAGAGAGATAAAGAGGGATCTACCTTTTGTTGTACCCATTCTGCAAGAAGCACCTGCCTTCTGTTTCATTCCAGCAGACCTTTTCCCTCTACCGGCCAAACAAAGAGGACCAGCAAAGCTGAGCGTGAGGGATGTGCGAAGATGCAAAGCTATGCACTGCTCTCTTGCTTGTCCATTCAGCACGTCCACCGCCATGATGAGACGGCTGCCAGCATCGCAATGTAAAGCTAGCGCTTCCCTATGACAGTCTGTTCTCTGCCTCTCTCACCCCCCCCATCTCTCTCTCTCTCTCTCTCTCTCTGTCTTTTATTTCTCTCTCTCTCTCTCACCGCACACGCACCTATACGGCAAGTAAAAACAAGTACAGTTAAAAACACAACACACAAATGAGTGGAAGCTGACCACAAATAAATGCATACAAAAAACATACATGTATTTACAAAAATAATAACATTCCAGGGAAAAAAAAAGCATCAGATCACACAAGAATTACCCAGAAATATCGTCTATCTCTGCAAAACTACTAACATTATCCTAAGCTTCATTCTTTCTCTTCTCCCTAGTGCAGAAGATACACAAGCGTACATCCTGTTTTTCCCTCCTGTTCTCTTAGTTCCAACAGTTCTCGCTATTCTCCATCCAGGGGTGAACAGGGGGTCCTGCTGAAGCTCTCTGCCCCAGCTGAGGCTCCTCTTCCAGGGTTGCAAGGGATGATGGTCTTGGGGTTTAGGGTGGAGGGGATTTAGGGGGGAAAGGTAGGCAGGTTGGAATGTTTTCATGCATGCAGGAAGGGAAAATCAGGTGCTGGGATGCCGCAGTTGTTTAAAAAAAAAACAAAATACAGAGAAAAAAACAACAACAGAGGAGTATTCTCCCCGTGCCCTTCAGCGTGAGAAAATCCAACTGTGCGCGATACAAAAAAAATGATGCGTAAAAAACGAAAAGCTAAAAATGCGCATATACATATATAAACGCATCATATATGTATACATATCCAGAGGAAGAGGGAAGGAGCAGGTATGCAAGGGATGAGCGGTTCACACACACGGACACACACACACTGCGCTGCGCACACGCTCGGGCTACAATTTATGCTCTCCGTTTGACACCACCCCCACCTCCCTGGGCACATACATACGCGCGCACGCACACACACACACACACACACACACACACACACACACACACACACACACACACACACACACACGTGCGTGTAACGTCCCAGCTGATCGTGGTAGAGAGATTAGATTGTGGGGACAGCTGGCAGGGATTACACACACAGGGGGTTGACTGAGCAGGGGAGGGGAGACCCTCTCTGACCAAGATGTATACACACACACACTCATACCACCTCACTATAAATTTCACGAGGAAAGTGTGCAGCATCATGTTTACCTCCAAATATACTGATATCAAAGATAAATGCATGCTATTTTTGCAAAGAAGGTGCACGCACACACATATCCTAATGAGATATGCACAAATAGAGTGCATCTAAACAACGAGGGTTAATGTATGGTAATACATACTGACTGCTTGGGGGTGGCGGGGTGACACAGTTGACCTTTGACCCTGTACCACTCCATCTTTTCAGGGTGATCAGCTGATTGCAAAAGGGGGGTCCGTGGGGAGGCAACCCAATATGCTCTTTTCTGACACACACGCATGCAGACGATACATCATGCATGATATAACACGAGCCGCTGCTTCGCTAATGCGCAATATCGCTGCAAATCAGTGGGACGGAGGATTTCAGATGCGAAATCATTTTTTTTTTCTTCTTAAAATCGGTTTCTCCTCATTTTTGTCCGCAGCGCTCATGATGGCGTTAAATCTGGAAGCGTTTCAAAGCGTGAAACCCCAGTGAACTAGCTGTACAGAAGGGATCAATACTGTTTAGTCTTGGATTTTGAACAGCGTTTGAACTATATCTGACATTTAAATCAATTCTATGCTTCAGCATTTTCTGTTGCAGAGAGCTGTGGTCTGTTGTGTGGAGAAAGGATCATCTTAAGCAATATCATGCAGAATAGGCGCAGAGTCTGTTTAATTAGAATTTTTATGAGTAGAACGAAGATTAAGTGTTGCTAAAATGTTTCATTGTTATAAATAAACGCATATAAATGACTTTTTTCAAGATTAATTAAACAGCGCACATTGATGTTTGAGCCAGAGCGTCATTTTTAATTTTAATGGAGCGAAAACATTAAAGAGAATATTGTGTGCGCGTAAACATCCACAACTGTCATTAAAACTGAGTTTGTGTGTGTGTGTGGCACGCTGAAAATGTGTCCTTGCTCTATTTACGTCTTTGGCAATGTGAGGATATACCTGGATTATTGCATATTTTTGCATTTTTTGTGTGTTTGTGCCTCAGGCAAATCAAATAGAAATGAGTGTATGTAAATGGAAGAGATTAGAGCCAATGTGTGTGTGTGTGTGTGTGTGTGTCAGCACTAGCCTAGCCTGCATTCCTCCTAGCAATAGCGTCCTCTGAGTGCACTTTAATCTGTAATCTGACAGATTAGCAAATAGGAGCGTTTGAGCTGGATTATCGCCTCATTACAAATGACGAGCATCCCAGGACCTGCTCCTTATGTGTGTGTGTTGCGTGTGTGTGTGTTAGTGTATATTCTATATTCTTTGTGCTCGGTGCTTTTTTTGTGGTAAGAGATTCATTTAAATGCACTTTATTGCTTCGGTGTTTCGTTAAAATGACTCTACATTCATTGCATTTGGATAACATTTGATTAAAGGATCGAAGAATATGTTTTTTTTCCTGCAAAAAATTCAACAGATTTAAAGAAATAAATTTTTTTCTTTTTTTTTTTGTAATATCACAGATTTTTTTCTTTTTTTTTAACAGCAAAAGAGAGATTTTCAGCCTTCATCGAAAGAATTATTATTATTTTTTAATTTAATCCCAGAGTTCATATTGTGTATGTCTGCATCAGATTAAAAACTCCATCAAAAAAGAAATAAATAAACAAAAACAAAGCAACCAGATGTTCTGTAAAGCGGTCGGTCTTTGCGCTGCATCATTTTAAAGAGGTCACATAACAGATGGGTCGCTAAAACGTCCTCACCGGCAAGCCGAAACGGGACATTTACAAGATTACAAAGACTAAAGCTAAATGAGTTTAAAACCTAAACCTGCAGTATTTAAGGGTGAAAGATCACTATTCTAAACTAATGCATGCTACAGTGAGCGATTGGGGAAAAGGAAAGCGGAGCACAGATTCACATTGACATGCGTTTTCCTTTTTTTTTTTCTGTGCTTCTGCTTTAAAGGTATATGGGTATAATGCTGAGTTGGCCATTATATGTGTGTCTCAGGAGTGTGTATGTGTGTGTGCCTATGGGCTATGCACAGATGTGTGTGTAAGCAAGCACTGATGCGTGTGCGTCTGTGCAGAAAGCTTGGTCGGTCGTTCAGTAAATCTGGCAGCATGTGCTGTTATGTTCGCTGCTTTACTAGCATGCATGCACAAATATATAAATGCATATAAAATGCACATATAAAACGAAAAAAGGGCAATTTGTTATTGAATTAGCACATTAAAGATAAATATTCTGCAAGTATTTATTTGCTGTGGTGTTGCTTAAAATGTTGTCTACAAATTGTTGTTCTAAAAGATGACATTCAAATCAATGCTATGCTTTAGCATTCTGTTGCAGAGAGCTGTGGTCTATTGTGTGGATAAATGATCATCTCAAACTGTATCATGCAGAATATGCATAGGGTTTGTTTAATTATACTTTTTGTAGTAGAATGACAATTAAGTGTTGCTAAAATAAGCAATAAGCATGGTTTTAAATAAATGCATATAAGTGGCTTTTTTAGATTAATTAAACAGTACATGCTTGATTCAGATTCACATTTTTATTTTTAATAGAAAGAGAAATTATAAAATAATATTCTGTATAAATGCATATAAAATATAAATGCATATGAAGTGCACCAATAAATGCAAAAAGGCCATTTGTTATTGACTAAGCACATTAAAAAAAATTCTGTAAGTTTTTGTTTGCTGTCATGTTGTTTAAAATGTTGTTTGATAAATTATTGTTCTGAAACAGACACATTTTCACGAATATAAAAACTGTTTCTTTAAAATACTTTTTAAATATCTGCAACAACTAATGACAAATGAAACCCTTGCCATTTATTAATGTCCATGTTGTTCTGATCATGTATGACTTTAACTCTTCTGTATAACCCAATTAAAAAAAGGTTAAGATTTTTTAAAAAACTGGGAAAATATTTTTTTCTAATTTAGAAAAAAAATTATATCTACAACAATCATCATATAAATCACAAATTAAACAGATAGTTAACCTAAGAATGAAAGTCCTGGCATAATTTATTTGTCCTCGTTGTTCCAAACTGCTGTTTTGTTTTTTCACTCTCCAACAAAATGTAAAATATTAATAAAATATGAGATTAACGAATGTTGCTATTTTTTAGAAGACATTTTTAAAGTTTCTGCAACAAATAAAT